AGAAGTGGGGTGTTTGCTGAGAGAATTGGGGTGTTCACTGAGAGGAGAATCGGGGTGTTCAGTGAGGGGAGAAGTGGGGTGTTCGCTGAGATGACTGCGAGGTCGGACGGCGCAGGTGAGCCCAGAACCGGGCGTCCCGGGCCTGAGGTGAACGGTGAGGTGTCGGAACGGCCGGTCCGGCGTGCACTGTGGGCGGCCGGGTCCCGCGGGGAGTCCGCGGCGACAGCCCCGGCGGCCCGCCTGCTCACCTCCCGCACTGGCCCGCTCCGGTCCACGGCGGTCCACTCCGGTCCACGGCGGTGCCCTCCGTGGCCGCCCGAGGCCGGAAGCGGCACCGCCCCTTTCCGTTACCGGGCCCGCCCCCGACCTTGCCGCTCGCCCTCATTGGCTGGCTTGGGGCGGAAGGGGCGGGGCGCGCGAGGGCGACCAGAATGGCGGCGCGGGGTCCTGGGACCCGCCATGGGCCGGGGGTGGCCTCGCTTCCCTGTTTCTCACCGGCGAGCCGGGGACAGGACGAAGCCCAGGAGACGCCGTTCCTGCCCGTGGGGTGGTTGGACGAGAGAGGAGGAGGGGCCAGGCCGAGAGGAGCAGGTCTGTCTGGAAGGTTAACTTGGGATTTCAACACTTGTATTTGAGTCTTCGCCAATCTGAGGCTCATTGAATTTTCTTGGACTCTGATCTTTAACTGACGGCAAAGAAGGAAGCACGGCTGTTTAAGTTTCATTTACTCATTTCAAAGAGAGAGAGAGCTGCGTAAGCTTGCTCACGTCCCAAGTGGCTGCCATGGCTGGGCTGGTCAGGGCGAAGTCTGGATCCCAGAACTCCGTCTGGGTTTACCATGTGACGGAGTCGGGCATGGGTGTAATCTGCTGCTTTCCCAGGTGCATTAGCAGGAAGCTGCATCGGAAGTAGAGCACCTGGCCAGTTGGTGCCCTTATAAGGGAGGTTGGCTTAACCTGTGGTGCTGCGCCAGCCCGTTTCCTTGGGTTTTGGGTGACCAATGCCTGGACCATATCCGTTCCCCAAGCTCCTGGTTCCTGTCTCCCTGTGCCTAGCTGTCCACTGACCCTTACCGCTGTGAGTTGCCTGCTATACACATCAGGATAACTGATGTGTCACGAAGATGGCCTGTGGGAAGCATAACGAGGTGTGGAGTTCCACTGAGGTCCAGACAGGGCTCTGCATGAGCCTGCTTTGCTAGGTAAGACTTGGCAGATCACTCGGACTGTGAGGTAAGGGTGCCTGGCCTGAAGGTCATGGGGCTGGGCCACTCAAGGCATCCTGCAGAGCACAGGCTAGGATGGCTCTGGCTCCTGGGAATACACACTCCTGACCAGTCAGGCCAGGCCCATCAAAGCCTCTTACCCCTTAGACTTACTCAGTGCTGATGGCCAAGGCCACTTGGCAACTACCAGCAGGCTCAAGAGGCTAATCCTCACCTTGCATGCACCAGGATCTCATGTGGGCACTGGTTCATGTCCCGGCTGCTCTGCTTAATTATGACCTGGGAAAGCAGTGGAGAATGACCCAAAGTCTTGGGACCCTCACCTGCATTGGAGACCCAGAAGAAGCTCCTGGCCTCTGATGGACTCAGTTCCAGCTGTGGGAGCCATTTGGGGAGTGAACTAGCTGATGAAAATCCTCCTCTCTGTCTCTCCTTCTCTCTGTAAATCTGATCTATCTTTCCAAAAAAAAAAAAATCTTAAAAAAAAAATCTTGGGCCTGGCACGGTAACCTAGTGGCTGAACTCCTTACCTTGCATTCCGAGAAATCCCATATGGGCGCCAGTTTGTGTCCTGGCTGCTCTACTTCTTTCCAGCTCACTGTTTGTGGCCTGAGAAAGCAGTAGAAGATAGCACAAAACCTTAGGACCCTGAACCCGTGCAGCAGACCCAGAAGAAGCTCCTGGCTCCTGGCTCTGGATTCAATCAGCACCAACAGATGCAGCTGCTTGGGGAGTGAACCAGCAGATGGAAGATCTTTCTCTCCACTCTAAAATCTAACTTTCCAATAGAAGTAAATCTTTTTTTTTTTTTAATGTCTTGAAAAAAAAACTATCAGTAGAAGGCAAATCCTTGGGCAGCCTCAAATAAAGGCCTCCACTTCAGCTAACTGGTATATGTATGGATATATATGAATATATATATATGTCTTCAGAATACAAAGAGTGGGGGGAGAAAGGCTGAGCAATGGCAGAGCTGGGCCAGGCAAGCCCAAGGCAAGAACCTGGACTCTCATGTGGGTAGCTGAGCTCCAAACACTTGGGCCATCTGCTGCTGCCTTCCCAGGTGAATCAGCAGGCAGCTGGATTGGAAGTGGAGCAGCTAAGACTTGAACCAGTGTTCACATTTCAGGAAGTAGCCTGAGCAAAAAAAAAATTAAGCCTCTCTTATGAAGCCATTGAGGTTTTAGGATTTATCTGTTATCCCTACCAACCTTAACTACTGTCTTTGCAAACCCACAGAAGAGGGAACCTTCGTAGGTCTGGGGAGTCCTATGGAGATTTATGATCAAGGAAAAGGTCAGATGACCTTTGGTAAGTTCCAAGATAAAAATTTTTTTAATTAATTATTTTATTGGAAAGGCAGATGCACAGAGAGGAGGAGAGACAGAGAGGAAGGTCTTCCATCCAATGATTCATTCCCCAAGTGACTGCAACAGCCAGTTGCACCAATCCTGCGCCGATCCAGAGCTGATCCAGAGCCAGGAGCCAGGAACTTCTTTCCGGGTCTCCCATACAGGTGCAGGGTCCCAAGGTTTTGGGCCGCTGTCGGCTGCCTTCTTAGGCCACAAGCAGGGAGCTGGATGGGAAGTGGGGCTGCTGGGATTAGAACCGGCACCCATACAGGATCCCAGTGTGTTCAAGGCAAGGCCCTTAACCATTACGCTATTGCGCCAGGCCCCCAAGATAAATTAAAAGTCAGCATTTTGTTGTTAAAGATTTTACTTATTTATTTGAAAGTTACAGAAAGAGAGATCTTCCCTCTAGGGGTTCATTAGCTAGCTGCAGCAGCTGGGGCTGGGTCAGGCAAAAGCCAGAAGCTTCTTCCAGATTTCTCATGTGGGTGGCAGAGGCTGTTAGCAGGGAGCTGGATTTAAAGTGGAGCATCCAGGACATGAGCCAGTGCTCACATGGGGTACTGGTATTGCAGCAGGCAGCAGCTTAACCTGCCCTATCACAATGCTGAAAAGCATTGAAAACTGAAAACATTGAAAAGCTTGTTGAAAAGCTTATTGAAAACTGCTCGTTGCTCTCCCAGGACGGGGTGAGGTAATGAATGACCCCAGAAGCCAACCCTAACCCAGACACTTTCCCCAGAAAGTGAGGCAGCACCCAGGCAGTCAAGAGAATCCAGGGAGGACTTGTAACACTTCAATGTGGCAACACTGGATGTGGAATGTAACATTTACAAATTCACGGCCACTCAAAGGAGAATCTTATGTGGCCTCAAGGTTTTTAGCCTCATGTAAGGTTTTTAACCTCATGCAAGGTTTTTAGACTCTAGCCTAATAGAGTCTAGACTTTTCTTTCCTTCTTTCTACCTATCTATCTTTGAAGAATTTATGAGATATTTTCATAGATCATTCTTGCAGTCAAGTCCGATCTGATTTAAAAATCTTCACCCAGGGCCCGGCGGCATGGCCTAGCAGCTAAAGTCCTCGATTTGAATGCCCGGGATCCCATATGGGTGCCGGTTCTAATCCCGGCGGCTCCACTTCCCATCCAACTACCTGCTTATGGCCTGGGAAGGCAGTCGAGGACGGCCCAAAGCCTTGGGACCCTGCACCCGCGTGGGAGACCCAGAAGAAGTTCCTGGATCCTGGCTTCGGATCAGCATAGCATTGCCTATTGCGCGCACTTGGGGAGTGAATCATTGGACGGAAGATCTTCCTGTCTCTCCTCCTCTCTGTATATCTGACTTTCCAATAAATAAATAAATCTTTAAAAAAAAAAAATCTTCACCCAACACTCTCATTCTCCATTCCTATGACAACGCCTTAGTTTAAGCCCACCCTCTCTTGCACAATGCCTCTACCATGAGCACTGCTCCCACAGGGTTTATTCCCCTTCCTACTGACACTGTTCTGACTCTGTTTAGCTAGAGCAGCATCCACTTGAAATGGGCAAGTGACATCACTCCTCCCATTCCCAGCACTTGGCACTGTGTCCCGCCCCCCCTCTTCTGCCCTCCCCCCTGGACTGCTGACAGCTGGGCTCTCGCTGTTCTTTCTGTCAGGAAGTTCTCCGCCATGCTGGTACGTGTAACAGGGACAGAGCCTGCTCCCTCTTCATCAGGACTGGAACACACATTCTGCCTCCCTCTGAAATGGCCGCCCATCCCTCCCTTGTTACTGGCAGACTTCCTGTGCCATCCTCCAATCCCTGGCTGTTGTCTGTGTGCCCCTGGGGAGGTGGCTGTGTTCGCCAGGTCTGCTGACTGCTATCCCAGTGCCCTGCATGCTGTAGGCACTCAGGAAGTACTTCACCTCTTGCTCCAAAGCCTTCTGACTTCCTGCTAGCTGGCCGCTCTGTGTCCAACCACATGTGCCTGCCTCACTTCGGAGTGGATCCCATTGGGCAGAGAGCCCAGCACAAGGCCAGGTCAACCCGTACTGGCCCCTCAGTGGAGCTCCAGAGCGCAGGGTAGTACTGCAGGTGCACTGAGGCCCACCGCCCAGTAAGTCAGGGCTGCACACACTTACAGCAGGTTCACTGACCTGAGAGAAGGCATATCCTGTGTGCCCTCTCAGACAAGCCTACCTGTTACTTGGACCTCAGGATTGTGCTGGGCCCAGAGGAGTACAGAGGGCTTGGCTGGGTGGGGAGCAGGGGAGTGGGCCCTCTTCTCTGGCAGAGAGCAGCAGCCCTATGGAGCAGGTGCAAGTTGTGAAGCGAGGGCTTATCCCAGATGCACATACCCAGACAGCACCCTCACAGCCTGCATCTGCTCAGCAGATGCCTTCCTAAGATGGCCTTGAGTCCTTCATGGTGTCTCTCAGGCCCAGCCTTTCCCTGCTGGCCCTAGTTGGGCAAAGCCAAACAAAACACAGGGACCTAAGGGCTGAGACGAATTACACAGCCTTATTTTTATTAGTGTTTACCAAGAAAAAGCTAATTCAAATTCCCTCCCTGCTCCAATCCCACCTCTACCACTGGGGCCCTTGGGAGCAGCCTGTACCATGGGACAGCAGCTTCCAGTGCTGTCCCTGGGGCCTGGATGTGGCCACCCCTCATGTTTGAGCCATCCTAGGCCTCTTGTTGCCCAGCATGGGGCAGGGGAGGGTAGCTGGCACTTCTGTCCTCAACGGTCAGCCTTGGGGACTTGGAAAAGATCAGCGATGTCCAGCAGGGCCTGACGGATGTGGTTTCCAAAGCGCTGGGCATTCTGTGGATGACAAGAGCTTCGATGCACCTTCAGGTACCCCAGCCCTCCGTCCCCCCACGAGAGAGACCGTGTGCCTGGGTGACTGCTGCCGGCACAAAGGGGGAACTTACAGTCTCCGAGCTTGAGAACTTGCTGGAGACATGGAAGAAGATGGTGTTCTCGCCTGCGATCATGTAGGAAACGCCATAGCCATCATCTGCCACCTGAGGGCAGTGTGGGGGCGAGGGAGGCATGAGTGAAGAGCTGCCTGCTGCTGCTGCTGCTGCACTTGCCCCAAGGTCAGGAGCATGCCCAGTGGGCACTATGGACCCTTCCGCTTCCCAGAGGGAGCTCTAGGCTGCTGCCCCATCCTTCCAACTAGCTCTCACCCACCAGTGGAACATGCTGGCTCCTACACGGAGCCTATTTCAATTTCAGAAGCGAGCAGCACTTTGCTCTACACCTCGAACCAGCCCCAAGCATGACCATGCCCAGCAAGGAGGGGATTTGGGAGGGTGTGTCCCTGGCCCACAGTGTCCACTCTGCCTCCCTGCAGGCCTGAGTGTGCTGCCCTCCAAGCAAGCGCCCCTGCCCCGGTCCATGTCCATGTCCACACTTGCTCCAGAAAACCCCTGCAGGTGCTGCTGCCCACCTCCCTTCAGGGCACTCACGGGGCCAAAGCCGCCACCAGGAGCCAGGTGGTTGGGATGCTGCTCTGGGTCGAACATGCGGATCTGGGACTGAGGAATCTGGCTGGTGGAAAGGCGCCAGGGTTCTGAGAGCACCTGCCACAGGGCGGACATAGCTGGTCAGATACCCAAGCAGCAGGCTGAAGGCCTGCTCCAGCCAGTGCTACCTTGCTGAAGCTGCAGGAGTGGACACAGGCCTCAGATCCCTTAGTCTCTGGCAGAGACCATCGTGTGACCTGTCAGTTCCTCTCAGCTCTGTGTCTACCCCACACGTCACACGCAAGAGCAACTTCCTGTGGGCTATCAAGGCCAGGAGGGCAGGCCAGCTCCAGCTGGCAGACCTGGGGGGCAGTCCTGGCAGGTGTGGGTGGGCAGGCCGGCTCCAGCTGGCAGACCTGGGGGGTCCAGTGTGTGTGGGAAGGCCGGAGCCTGCTTCAGAAGCACCCTGCAGAGCAGTGCATGGGTCCTGCCCAGCTCACTGACCTCAGCCAGGAAAGGGGAATTGACACCCAGGTACTTGGAGACCAGGTAGAGGCAGAAGAGGTGTCGGTCGATGCCAGCGCCGGTCATGGCCAGGCGGTACATGTGCTGGTGCTTCTCCGAAGCCTTCCGAAAGAGATCTTGGAGGTCGGCTTTCTGAGGATCAAGAAGGGGTAGGGAGCAAATGGCTTCAGCCTCACTGGGATGGGATCATGGGGGGCAAGGAGCAGGCGCAGCTCACCATGTGGGACCCCTCCACCATGGCCTGCACGAAGGCTGTGGACTCGTTGGTACAGGAACGCACAGTCTCTGTCCGCCCCTCCCGGAACATTCTGGTCATTGAGGCCTCGTAGGTCAGGCAGAACTTTCCCTTATCCTGGCAGACGCAGAGGGGTGAATTTTGTTGGTGGCCCATCACCCCACCCCACTGGGGGCTCCTACCCTGCCCAAGGGGGTTCCTACCCGGAAGTGGGCCAGCTGTAGGGCGATCTGCACAAAGGCGTCTGGGCTGGTGCGGCATCTCTTGATGAGGCCTTTCCCAAAGGGCAAGAACTGGAAGCAGCACAGCTCCACATCATCCGCCAGTGCCCGGGCCACCTGGTAGGAGCTCTCGATGATGGCCTGGCACTGACGAGACATGAGAGGTGAGCTGGGGGCAAAGTCTCCGGGAGCCACACCAAAGGGCTCTGCAGATGAGAGCCTCACACCCCTACCTTTCCACACCACAAACAGCTCCCGGGTCCCCCTAATCCCTGTGGCCAGCCTAGAGCCCACACAGTATCCCGAGCTGTTTCTGCCAAGGGCTGGGCCAGGTGGGAAGGGGCGGGAGACGTAAATGACTCATGACAGTCCCCCTCCCACCCACCCCGCACCTGCTCAGGGATGTCCCACTGCAGCCGCTGAGGAGGTGCAAGTGTGGGGTTTGCCTTGCCCAGGCAGTGCCCAGTCTCTGTGTAGCCCAGGTGAAAGGTGTCTGTGCCCAGGACGAACTGTAGGGAGAGGTCAAACTGAGAACCTGACCGCCACCTGCAGGCCTGCCCTCCAGGTCCCCTGCCCAGCCCTATTACCTCCCAGAGGTGCCCAATGATAGGGGCATCAGCCCACGCATGTTCTGTGTTGAGGCCCAACTGGCCGTTTTTGAAGGAAATGAGAGTGAAAGACTTGTCGAACCACCTGCAGAAGGAGTGGGTCAGGGGATGGATGGCTCAGCCCTGGGGGCTAAGGTCACGGAGCTTGCTGATCATGACCCTGACCCCAAGCCCATCCCTAAACATTTACTCTAAACCTAATCTCTCTCCCTAACCCTTTCACCTCAACCCTAATTCTACAATTATGCCCTAGCTCTAACCCTAACTAGCCCTGTCAGCTCTCCTTTAATGCAGAGCTCTGCCCATGGTGGGGGAGGTGCACACCTGTTGTAGCAGTTGCCGTGCAGCAGCGCCTTGCCATAGAGGCTGAGGCTGGCTTCATCTTCGGGGTTGTAGGCATGGGCCTCCTCATCCAGGGCCACAAAGAAAGCAGCACGCTCGATGGCCTCCAGCGCAGCCTTGTTTTTGCCCGAACTGAAATAGGCCTGGCGGGCCTGCGCCCACTCCACCCTGCAGATCAACATGGGCCAATTATGGGAGCCCTGTGGACATCTCGAGGCCCGGCTGGGCTTGGAGACAGGGCCTGACAGGGTGGCAGATGGTCCTGGAGGGAATCCACCCTACAGCCACCCTATCAAGGCGGGTTCCACCGGCTGGCACCCTCAGGTCTCTGCTGTGGCCCCGAGCCGCAGTCAGCACATCTCCCCTCTGCTCCATACCTCCCTCCTGCAGTGAGGGCTGCCAGCTTCTCCTCCCCAGGCTGAGGTGGGGATGGGTCATCCAGGATCCTCTGGAACTGCAGCTCCAGCTCCCGGGGGCTGAGCAGGCGGGAGCCCTCATACAGCCACACCTTGAAGAAGCGGCCCTTGTGGTAGACGGCCACATGCCTGCTGTCTGACAGGTGCTGTAGCACATCTGTGAGAGGGCAACAAAAACTGAGGCTCGGCCATGGCGCTGCCGGCTGTGTCCCAGGCAGTTGAGGCTCGGCCACGAAGTCCTGGCCCTGGCTGTGTCATGGGAGGACAGGCGAGCCCCAGCCACGGGAACTGCCAGCCCTGGCTATGTCCAGGGAAGGGCCAATGCCCCCCATGCCCAAACACACTGGGTAGTTCCTGCTGATCCTCTCAGCCCAGCCTCTGCCCAGGGCTTTTCCTTAGTGAGTGAATCCACACAGCAATCCTGGGAGGGCCTTCACAGTCCAAGAAATGGCCAGTACTGCAGTACATTGGGGTGGGATGCTGCCAACAAGGCTGGCATCTCCTGAGAGCACAGGACTCCTGGGGAAACATGGATGGTGGTACCAGTATCTGTACCCCTGCCAACCACATGGGAAGCCTGGATGGAGATCTAGGCCCCTAGCTTTTACTGGCCCAGCCCTGGCCACTGAGGCTGTTGAGAGAATAAGCCAGCAGACAGAAGATCTCTCTCTGTAACTCTACCTTTCAAATACATAAAACAAGTCTTGAAAGAGGGCCTGGTGCAGTGGCCTAGCAGCTAGGGTCCTCGCCCTGAACGAGCTGGGATCCTATATGGAAGCTAGTTCTAATCCTGGCAGCTTTACTTCCCATTCAGCTCCCTGCTTGTGGCCTGGGAAGGCAGTCGAGGACGGCCCAAAGCCTTGGGACCTTACACCCACATGGGAGACCTGGAGGAGGTTCCTGGCTCCTGGCTTTGGACTGGTGCAACACCGGCCATTGCGGTCACTGGGAGTGAATCATTGGATGGAAGATCTTCCTGTCTCTCCTCCTCTCTGTATATCTGACTTTCCCAATAAAAATAAATAAATCTTTTTTTAAAAATCTTAAAAGAAAAAAGAAGTGCTAGCGAAGTGTGTAGCTACCTGAGGACAGTGTTGCAAATGGAAGGCGTGGGTGCCGTGGCTGAAGCACTACCTGCACCGCCACTCACACAGTTACCTCCCTGGCACAGTCAGCCTGGAGGAGGAGCTCCACGAGGGCCCCTGGGGTCCAGCTCCAGTGTCCAGTGTCTGTCACACACTGATGGCTTTGCACAGTTCCGGGACCCTGGTGCCCAGTGGGAGGGAGGGGCTCAGCTGTGGTCAGCGGTACCTGTCTCCCGGCCAGGGATCCGGGTGGTGTTGAACATCCGCTCCATCTGGTAGGAGCACATGGGAACAATCCCAAGAGCCATCACCTGCAGAAAGCACAGCATGTCCAGCTGCAGCGCCCCTCCCTCCACCCCGACCCCCAGCTGCAGCGCCCCTCCCTCCACCCCGACCCCCAGCTGCAGCGCCCCTCCCTCCACCCCGACCCCCAGCTGCAGCGCCCCTCCCTCCACCCGGACCCCCAGCTGCAGCGCCCCTCCACCCCGACCCCCAGCTGCAGCGCCCCTCCACCCCGACCCCCAGCTGCAGCGCCCCTCCCTCCGCCCCGACCCCCAGCTGCAGCGCCCCTCCCTCCGCCCCGACCCCCAGCTGCAGCGCCCCTCCCTCCGCCCCGACCCCCAGCTGCAGCGCCCCTCCCTCCGCCCCGACCCCCAGCTGCAGCGCCCCTCCCTCCGCCCCGACCCCCAGCTGCAGCGCCCCTCCCTCCGCCCCGACCCCCAGCTGCAGCGCCCCTCCCTCCGCCCCGACCCCCAGCTGCAGCGCCCCTCCCTCCGCCCCGACCCCCAGCTGCAGCGCCCCTCCCTCCACCCGGACCCCCAGCTGCAGCGCCCCTCCACCCCGACCCTCAGCTGCAGCGCCCCTCCACCCGGACCCCCAGCTGCAGCGCCCCTCCACCCCGACCCCCAGCTGCAGCGCCCCTCCCTCCACCCCGACCCCCAGCTGCAGCGCCCCTCCCTCCACCCCGACCCCCAGCTGCAGCGCCCCTCCACCCCGACCCCCAGCTGCAGCGCCCCTCCCTCCGCCCCGACCCCCAGCTGCAGCGCCCCTCCCTCCACCCCGACCCCCAGCTGCAGCGCCCCTCCCTCCACCCGGACCCCCAGCTGCAGCGCCCCTCCACCCCGACCCCCAGCTGCAGCGCCCCTCCGCCCCGACCCCCAGCTGCAGCGCCCCTCCCTCCACCCCGACCCCCAGCTGCAGCGCCCCTCCACCCCGACCCCCAGCTGCAGCGCCCCTCCCTCCACCCCGACCCCCAGCTGCAGCGCCCCTCCCTCCGCCCCGACCCCCAGCTGCAGCGCCCCTCCCTCCACCCGGACCCCCAGCTGCAGCGCCCCTCCGCCCCGACCCCCAGCTGCAGCGCCCCTCCCTCCACCCCGACCCCCGACAACTCACAGGCTTGATCTCCTCGCGGTCCAGCTTGCGGCGGTACATGATCATGGCGTGCACAGCGTTTCCCACACGGGCTGCCTGCACTTCTGTGTTCCTGACCAGCACCAGGTCCTGGGGACACAGCAGGGCCGTGGTGGGTGCCCCTCAGGATCCACTGCCCAGGGGCCTGTGCTTCCAGACAGACCTGCTTGGAGTCAGTGCCCCTCCCACCCCACTGCTTCAGCTTTGACGTGAGCTGTGCCTTTGCCTGTTTTGTTTTGACTGCAGAAAGGGCTTCCCCAACCAACCCCTGGTGAAGGTCCCTGGTATGGACAGACAGCCTGTGAGGGCGGGCAAGGCCAACAGGCCACTTGGCATCCTGTGTGTCTTGGACGGGGGAGGGGGCTGCGGGGAGTTGGTCACATGGCCCTTTACCTGCAGCCAGCCAGCCAGGCTTCAGGGAGTCCCTGGGAACCTGTGGCTGGGAGGTCAGGGCCTGAGCCAGGGAGGAAGGACGGGGCCTGAGCTGGGCAGGGGCCAGTGGTGGCATTCCTGGCCTTTCCTCTTTGCCAGCTCTAGGAGTTCTTTTCCCCACTTCCCTTCCCTCAGACCTCACTCTGACCTCCTCTGCCCCCACGGAAACTTTGTATCAGAGCCCTGGGACCTCCTCCAGGACCTCTGCCCCACAGCCGGGACACTCCCTCTTGTCCCGTGGGGCTCCAGCTCTCACCATGACATAGTAGTTGCTGTTGACCATGAGGGGGCTCCTCCCTCGGAGGTAGATGTATTCCTCCCACCAGTCGCTCACCTGTGGGAGGGTGGGAGGTGAGGGGGGCTGCAGGACCCCCGGAGGGGTTCGCTAAGCCCCAGGGTGACACTCACGTAGTTTGTTGCCCACCAGGACTTGAACACCAGGTATTTCTGCAACCGGGGGGCAGTCTTGTCCTGGAATTCTTTGGCCAGCGTCTCCATGCGGTAATATTCCTCATCACCCAGCAAGGGCCGCACAGATTCCAAGTACTGTCCAGTGGAGCCATTGTGACTGTGGGGGCTGTGCCTCTGCCACTCTGCCTCAGCCCTCACCCCAACTCCACCCTCAACCCAGCTCCACTACTCTCCATAGTCTGACTCTCTCCCCATCCTTCATGGCAGACTCAGCCACCCCTGCTGGGACGCCCGACCCAGGCCCTCACCCTCTGGATGGTGGCTGGCACGCTGGGCACAGGGAGCTTGGGCAGAGATGACTGGAAGCTGTACAGCATGGGTCGTCGGCTGGACAGGAGGCGGACACAGATCTAGGGGTGTGGGCAGTGTTGGGGTGGGAGCCCCTTACAACCACCCAAACAAACCTACGTGCCAGGCACCAGAGCCCTGCCTGCTCCCACTCCAGCTCAACCCTAAGCCCCTGCTCACAATCCAGATCTTAGTGAAGCGGCTGGTCCGGCCATGCATCTCAAACATCCACCCATGATAGGAGAGCAGCAGCTTCAGGCTTTGGCGGAAAAGAAAGATGCCGGTCACCCAGACCCCCGTGGAGAAGATGGCCATGCTGAGAAGTGCCCGTGTCTGTGGCGTGTAGTAGGAGCCGTTCCTGTTGGAGAAGGGGTGAAAGCTAGAGACACCACTGGGTCCAGGCTGGCAGGCCGGCATCACCTGACCGCTGAGCTGTCTTGTGGGGGAAGGACTTTTCTGGACACATTCAGGCTGAGTACATTCCACAACAAGCTGATATGGGGCGGACAGCTGCCCCTCAGGCCACCGATGGCCACTGTGCTGCCTAGGCTAGGCCTGGGCTCCGTAGGGATAGCTACTTACCCCTCCGGAAGGCACTTCTGGATACAGCAGATGAGCCCCATGGAAACGTCCACCTTGCAGTAGGAGGAGCCCATGGTTGCCATGACGACGACCAGCCAGCTAGTGGGGCTGCCCGGGTATACACCCCTGAGGATGCCATTCTGCAGAGCAGGGAGGAGGCCCCTGAAGCACGCAGGGGGACCGAGGGCCTCTGGCCTCCCAGCCCACGCTCATCGCGACCCTCCACCTTGTGCCGCTGTAGCTCTTCCTCAGTTGCCAGCTTTGGTTGTGCTAGGGACCCAGACAGCAGCTAACCCTGCCTCCCATGCTCTGCACCTGTCAGGAGCAGGGGCTAGGGAAACCACGCCGCACACACCCACCTTGATGCGGATCAAGCGCTTCTTCCAGGAGTTGATTCCCGAAAGGTAGACGTGTTTCAGAGCCTCCCGACTGAGCCGGAAGTCAACCCCTTCTGGGGTCACAGTGAACTGGAAGGCCACAGCCTGGTGTGCTTCCGCCATCCTGGGGGTTGGTCAGCACCTGCTGGGGTGCGGGGGGGACGGGGGGGGGGTGCTACTCAGGACAACCCCTGTCCCAGGTCCACGGCACGTCGAGGCCCCGCCCCCTCCCCAGCCCACCCAAGCCCACCCCTACCCGTGCGCGCCCCAACCCCCGCCCTGCAGCCCACCCGGGGCCGCGGCCAGCGTGCGCCCCATGCCTCGCGCCCAGGACCTGCCCTCAGGCCAGGTCAACTGCCGAGAAACCCTCGCGCTGCTGCGGATGGAGCTTGAAGGCTTCGGGGCCGCGGAGACCATGAGAGGCTGCCTCGGAGTGGGGTGGAGCAGCCGCGGCCCCGGAACTGAGGCTGGGCTCGGCGCGACCCCCGCGCACCCACAAGGGACCCCAGCACGTGCCGAGGGGCTGAGCCGGGCAGGCCGCCCTGCACTAGCCCTACTCACAGTGCAGATTTGCTCCGGTGTGTGGGCCCCCCCACCTCCCCCGGCCTGCGTCCCCACGTCCTTCAGGCCTAGCCACCCCGCCCCGCCCTTACCGGGAACCTGACACCGACTCCCAAACAGGGGGTCGAGAAGCCGAAGTGGGGCGGGAACCAGAACCCCCTCTGCGAACCCAGGCAGGGCTCCTGCAGGCTGAAGGTTGCTCAGAGGTCTGAGAGACTGGGGGCAGGAGCGGGGCAAGGGTTTCACGTGAGAATCCTAGTATTAGAACTAAAAATAGCCGAATGTAGGGAAAAGGTCACCAGGGTGTCAGCTGGGCGCCTGTCCCCAATCTCTGGCGCGCGGGACTTTAAGCCTGGCCCCCAGCCCTTCCCTTGAGTCCTCCCAGCATTTACAGCTCTGAGCTTCAGCCAAGACAGGGTTCTGCAAGGGGCAGGGCGGGCGCTGGGCGGAGCAGGGTGTGTCACTCAGGGATCAGGCCAGGGTGTGAAGGAAGCAGCTCTTTATTGTCTTGGGGAACATAGCAGGGGACAAGGTGGGGAGCCCTCACTTGGGGGCACAGCCCCATCCTCTCTGTCCTGCCCTCCAAGATCCTGCCCTGGAGGTTCAGGGGAAATCCCAGTATCCCGCGGCTGTCAAGACGAGGGGGGCGAGCCGGTCAGTTGGCTCTTCTGCTGGAAATAGAACTGGAACCGGGATTGGGCGTACTCCTGAGGAAAGACCGGCCCCCAGAGCAGTAAGGAGCCAGGCTTGCCAGGTCCCCAAGGAAATGCGTGTCCCCTGCCCCCATATACCTACCAGGTAACCAAACTCTATGGTGGACATGGAGGCCTGGAGGGTTGACCACAGGCCCCAGAAGAAGTGGGAGGCCAGCGCGTACCTGGTGGACAGGGAGGGGACACTCACAGGAGAGCCAACCCCCCCAGGCGGGCCAGCCCTCTGAGTGGACTCCTATCCCCCTCAGCAGGCCAGCCCTCAGTGTGGACTCCTGTCTCCACCTGGGCAGGCCAGCCCTCTGAGTGTGGAGTCGTGTGCCCCCCAGCAGGCCAGCCCTCGGAGTGTGGAGTCGTGTGCCCCCCAGCAGGCCAGCCCTCGGAGTGTGGACTCGTGTCCTTTCCCCTACACACTCTCCTTACTTACCGGTTGACCTCTATCAGCAAATCTTCTTCCAGTTTGCTCTGTTCAGCCTGGGGGAGAGTCTCACCTTTCTGTACTTCTGCCAGGTAGTGGCGAATAAAATGCAGCTGAGATAAATGGGCAGAGTTGGTACTAGGAGAGGGCCCGGGGCTCCTCCCGTGGGTCCCTCTGGCCCACACACCTGCTGCCCCCGCGTTGGGTAGTCCGCAGGCTGTGCTCTGTAGAAGGGCCACTCTTCGTGTGTGTAGTCATACACCCACTCACAAAAGTGGTTCCCGATGTCAAACCCCCTGAGGGGACAAGGCAATGCTTGGACCTCAGCCACCCTGGCCATGGGAGGCCACAAGCAAGCCCGGCCAGTTTCCCCAGGGCCTCACCGGTAGTTGTAACTGCTGTACTCAAAGTCCACCAGCATGAGGCTGTCAGCACTCCGTGGCTCGGAGAGCAGCAAGATGTTCCCTAGGCAACAGGATGGGATGGGGTTCAGATCACTTCAAGCCTTCAGGCCCCTCCTTGGGCTGGTAGATTCAGGGTCCCCCTTCATCTTGAGCCAGGAGATTCAGGGTCCCCCTTCACCTCGGGCCGGTAGATTCAGGGTTCCCCTCCACCTCGAGCCGGTAGACTCAGGGTCCCCCTCCACCTTGGGCTGGTAGATTCAGGGCCTCCTCCACCTCGGACCGGTAGATTCAGGGTCCCCCTCCACCTTGAGCCGGTAGATTCAGGGTTCCCCTCCACCTCGGGCCAGTAGATTCAGGGTTCCCCTCCACCTAGGGCTGGTAGATTCAGGGTCCCCCTCCACCTCGGGCCGGTAGATTCAGGGTCCCCTTCCTGTTTGGGTCGGACATTCTGGCTTCCCTACCTTCCTGAATGTCATTGTGGCAGAAGACCACAGGTGATGGAGTTGAGTCCAGCAACTTCCTACGGAGGCAGAGGACGGGCATTGTGGGCAGTGCTCACTGAGGGCAGCCAGACCACACTCTGCCCTTGGTACATCTGGCAGGGGCTCTGGTGCCACTGGCCAGCCCTCACCTGAGCTGGCCCATCTCATCTTTCAGCTTGTAGGTCTCCAGTAGGTGGGGCTGCGGCAGGCCAGTGTCGGGCAGCTCCTGGATCTGTTTCAGATACCTGCAGCCCAAGGCAGGGTCCATTCACTCCACTGCCTGTCCCGTCCCCCAAGCCCTGTTTAGGCTTCTCTAACAAACAGCTGCACACCCAGGCCAGCCCCTGGGATATTAACCCCACTTGGCCAGTGCATAGGACATTCAACCTCAGCCAGGGCCTGACTCACCGCTCCATGGTCCCAAACAGCCAGTGGGGCTCCTTGGTGAAGGGCATCTCCATGCCATGGAACTGGGCCATCTTGGTGGCAATGGCTGCTGACAGCACTGGGTCGCGAAGCTCCTGGGTCTTCAGTGGCCGGCTCTGTACCCAAGAACCCATCAGGGGGGTGTGGGGGTGGGAGACCTGGGAGCAGAATGGGTCTTGGGGACAATTCCCTACCTGGGTTGTGAAGGCAGACATTGGGAGGGGGGTGCTTTGGGGAGGAGTGGGGTGGGCTGGGCTTGGACTGGGCTCGTACTGGGATGTACTGTTCCAGCCGGCCCTCTGGAAAGACGCCATAGAGCTGGGGTCCCAGCGCCCGCTCGGCAAGGATGGCGAACATCACGCTCTCCAGGACCAAGGAGTCCACACCCTGAGGGGGCAACAGCAGAGGCCACATCAGTGCCAGCACACCCAGGATGGCCTGCACTTCCTTCCCTGCGCAGCTGTAACTTTTGGTTCCGCTGCATAGGCCTTATTTATGGATTTATTTACTTAAAAGTCACAGGGAGCGATACGGAGAAAGATCTTCCAACTGCTAGTTCACTTTCCAGATGGCCACAATAGCCAGGGCTGAGGCAGGAGGAAGCCAGGTGTATCATCCGGGTCTCCCCCATGGGTGCAGGGGGCCCAAGCTTCCACTGCTTTCCCAGGCCATTAGCAGGGAGATGGATGGAAGTGCAGCAGCCGGGATGGCTACCACATGGGCTACCGGCGGCACCACAAGACCTAGTCAGGGGACACGGGTTCCAGGAAGACAAATTCCCTGAGCTCCGGATCCCTGGACTGGACAGTGAAGACAGCCCCAGCTGCTTCCACTGGAGCGAGCAGTCCTGAAGCTGGGGTGGCCGCGGTCCTGCTTTCCGCCTCACCTGCAGGATGGCCCCGTACACCCGCAGCAGCACCTCCCGGGGTTCGTCGCCAACGCTGGGCAGGTAGTCGGGGAGCGAGCAGCGGAAGAGCAGGTTACTGAGGCCTCCGCTGGAGATGCACAGTGAGCGCTCAGCCTGGGCGGTGCCTCCGTCCCTGCCCTGCCCCTCCGCCAACCCCCGGCCTCCCACCTCACGGGCTGGACCCGCAGCTCGCCGGGCAGCGCCCTGCGCCACGCCCCGCCCAAGTACTCCCGGCACCACTGGTGGGCCCGGCGCTCGGCATCTCGAGACAGCGACGAGGCGCGCCGCCGGGCGGGAGCCGCGTCTGGGTCCCGGGCCTGCGGTGAGCCGTCCCCGGGAAGGCGGCCGCCTGCGCTCCCCGCCAGAGCCTCGGCCGCCATGGGCAGCGGCGCTTCGGCTCCTGCGGAGGCTCGCCGCTTCCGGGGGGCGGGTCAGCGGCCTGGACTCGGGCGCCCGAGCGCAGGACGTGGACCAATCGGGAGCCGCGCGTGGGCGACGTGCGCGTCATCGGCTCGCGCCGCCTCGGGCGGCCTCGTGGACACCCGGGCCGGACTGCGCCCCGGCGCGCGGCTCGTGGCGCAGGTCGGCGCGCACTGGCCAGCGTGCGCTCTGGTTTGAGAGACCAGACGGGAACCCGGAGCTGGCGGCATGGATCCCAGCTTCCTCGCTCTGACTCTGGAGCCAGGTGGCGCACCCTGCCCCGACCACCCTGTTGTGCACAAGCGGCTGGCCAGGCCTCTCGGGCTGTGAGCTGCAAGGTCTGCGCAGACGTGGGGCCAGGTGCTAGCTCGTGGACACCAGAGGACTCATCCTCGGGCCAAGTGCATCATGAGACACTTCTGTCCAGCAGCCAGACCAGCTTGCCCTTGGAAAAGGGGCCATATTCTGGAAAGAACTCAGTGGAAGCCTCCTCTGTGCCAGCGCCAAGCAGCCACAGGAACTGGGCGCCACGCCTTTCGCAGTAACTTTGGCCACATCCCCTCACCTCCCCCAGGCTTTGTTTCGCGCTGTGTTTCCAGGGGAACGGGAAGATTCCTGCCAAGCTGTGTCACCACCGGGCTCAGGGTGGACCATCCAGGCACCAGCTGTGGGCTAATTCAGATCTGCCGGCTCAGGTGCAGGAGCTACGGATGTGCCCTGGCAGCTGGGAGCTTGGACTCAAAGTGGCCCCAGGCAAGAGTTGGTAGGGTGCTCTTGGGATGATTATTCCTTGCCTATCCCTGCTCCTCCCTCTCCCTCTCTTTCTGAAAGACAGAGAAGAGACATAAAGAGATCCTCTGTCTACTGGTTTCCCTCCTCAAATGCCCACAGCTGAGGGCGGGGGACAGGAGCTCTGCAAGGGCCTCCCACGTGGGCTGCGGAGCCCTAAGTCCTCAGGCCATCATCTGCTGCCTGGCAGTGTGGTCATTACCAGCGAGCAGGCACTCAGATGAGGGTGTGTGTGTCTGCCCTCCAGCTCCACATGCCATCCCTGTGGCTCCAAGCTGCCTCCGAGGTCCACTGCTTCTGTGTGACCTGCTGCATCCCTCTGAGATCTCAAGCCAGTGTCATCTAAGACCCATTCAGCTCAGCTGAAGTTCTGTCCCCTCACAGCTTCTGCTCAGTGCTCCACTGTGCCCAGTCCTTAAGTGCAGCGGGCAGGACTTCTGAGTCCAGCCTGGTCATCCTCCTCTAGATGGGCTTAGATTCCTGCCTGAGAACCTGAAGGACTGTGCAACATAACGAGGCGATGGCCAGGTACTCACTGTCAATGGTCGCATGCTTATACATTGACAGAGCAGCTGGTGGAGAATGACAGTTTTCCAAATTTAACAAGAACAGTGGCCACTGTGGTTTGAATGTGACCCTGAAACAGCTACATTGGGCGCTCAGTCCCCAGTGCCATGATGTTGGGAGGTGTTGGTGCCATGGGACATCACCATGCATGAGTTACTTCTGATTAGAAAGGGTTTGATGCTGTGATTCCCGCCTTGCCGCCTCCCCCATGCTTGCCCTTCTACTGTCTACTATGGGATGGCAGAGCATGGAGACTTTTCCAGAAGCCAGACCCCAGTCTATTGTCCCCAACCAGCAGCACCATGAGCCGATAAATGTTATGAATCACCTCATTGAGGTGCTCCATTATAGCAGAATGAGATGGGCTAAGGCATGGCCTTGTATGTTTTTGCAAGTTACTTTGCAAAATTTTTTTGTACTGATTTGAAAGAGTTACAAGGAGAGAGAGAGAGAGATGATCTTCCATCTGCAGATTCATTCCCCAAATGTCTGCAAACAGTTGCAGCTGGACTGAACACACCAGACCCCAGGAACTTCCATTTGAGTTTCCCAAGTGGATGCAGGGGTTCGAGAGCTTGTGCCAAAATCTTTGGCTTTCCCAGGTGCATTGATAGGGAACCAGATGAGAAGTGGTGTGGCCAGGACTTGAACAAGCGCCCACATGGGATATAAGAATTGCAGGCAATGGCCACAGTGCAGATTCTAAATGCCTGTCTTGTTCAAAGCAACAGACGCCCCCCTGTCTGTTTTGTTGTCGGTTTCTTGTAATCCCGTGTTTTTGTATTGGAACAGGCAAGGTCCGACCTTACACAGCTTTCCAATTGTAACTGCTTTTGACAGCTTTTTCTTACAATTATGAATCTTTGAAACTACACTGAGACTTGTCAAGGGACAGTTTATTTTAAAAAACGGGGAGGGGTGGCACCATGGCACAGTGGCGTGGTGGTGACACTGGCATCCCATATGGACGCCAGTTCGATTTCTGGCTGCTTTATGTCCTGTGCAGCTCCCTACTAACACACTGGGAAGCAGAAGATGGGCCAAGTGCTTGGGCCCTGCACGCATGTGGAAGACCTGGGTGAAGCTACTGGCTCCTCAGTCTGGCCTTGCCAGCCCTGGCTAATGCAGTCATTTGGGGAGTGAACCAGCAGTTGCAAGGTTCTCTCTCTCCCCTTCTCCCTCCTTCTTTCTTTTTCTGTAATTTTTTTTTAAAGATTTGTTTTATTTGTATTACAAAGTCAGATATACAGAGAGGAGGAGAGACAGAAAGGAAGATCTTCGGTCTGATGATTCACTCCCCAAGTGACCACAATGGCTAGAGCTGCACCAGTCTGAAGCCAAGGGCCAGGATCTGCCTCCAGGTCTCCCATGTAGATGCAGGGTCCCAAGGCTTTGGGCCATCCTCAACTGCCTTCTCAGGCCACAAGCAGGGAGCTGGATGGGAAGTGGAGCTGCCAGGATTAGAACCGGTGCCCAGGTGGGATCCCAGCACATTCAAGGCGAGGACTTTAGCCACTAGGCCACTGTGCCGGGCCCTTCTAATTCTTTCTTTCAAAAAAAAATTTTGTTAGGGAGTGAGAGAGAAAGAGAGAGAGAGATTGCTCCTACCTATTGTTTCATTCCTTGAATGCTTATGATGGTTGGCATGGGCTGGACTGGGTCCAGAGCTGGGAGCCAGGAATTCTAGGCCTCCCATGTGGGTGATGGGAACCCACAATGCTGCTGGAAGCTGGGGTGAGGAGCCAGAGTGAGACTTAAAACCAGGCTCTGCCAGGTGAGACACGGGCTAAGCACCTGTCAGTTGTGTTCTGGATACCAACACTGTGTCAGTGTTTCTGTCCCTTGGTCTGCCTGGTGCCATGTGGACCTTTTATGTCACGGTTGAACATTATGTGTGGGTCCTTTGGGAAATAATGACTCTCTGGTCTAGGCAGATGCTTTGCATTTTGACATGCTGTATTATATAACATAAAAATAACGTGTTAATGTCACTACCAACTTCGTCATAAAATTATTTAAGAAAATTACACTGGTGGTAGTGGTTAAAGTCCTAGCCTTGAACACACTAGGATCCCATATGGACGCCGGTTCTAATCCCGGTGACCCCGCTTCCCATCCATCTCCCTGCCTGTGGCCTGGGAATGCAGTCGAGAACAGCCCAAAGCCTTAGGACCCTGAACCCGTGTGGGAGACCTGGAAAGAAGCTCTGGGATCCTGACTTCAGATTGACTCAGCTCCGGCCATTGCGGGAGTGGCCATGGGACAGACAGCTTGAGGAGTGCACCATTGCACAGAAGATCTTCCTCTCTGTCTCTGCTTTTCTCTGTATATCCACCTTTCCAATACAAATAAATAAATCTTTTTAAAAAAATTACACTGATGGTGATGGACACAGGTTTTTCAAAGTTGTCATTTTTGCATGTAAGCTCTCATTTTGAAATTGGGAAAAATATTGCAAGTTGTCCTTGAAGTGATGTACTCGCTTTGATCATTTTTTGAAAGTATCTACCAAATCCCAAAGCCTGAATAACCACAGTTTGAAAGTTGCTTTTTGGAGGAAACAATAGTGCTTCATGAGGAAAGTGGCTGGTCCCACTCGCAGCTGAACACTGTACCTCCCTCGGCTATCTCCTCAGCCATACCTTTCATCCTCACACGGATGTTAAGTCAATATCAGGGTACCAGCACTTACGATCTAAATTACTTCATCAGGGAAATCTATAGGAAAAGCTGCATTTCCGCTGCAGGTAGCAGGGAAGAACTCCTGACCCCGTCACAGCTTGGTGCCACTGCCTTGGTCAGTGCTAAGAAGGCAGTGTCACCCACCTGAAGACCTTTCTGATTCCCTGAAAGTGACGTGGGGACTCCAGGAAGCCATGGTCCCCATTTTGAGAACCACCACCCCGGAGTATTGTTAGGGATCATGGCACAATGCATCTTCAGTTTTTTAATATTTTTTTTCTTTATTTTTGACAATCTTTACATAGTTAATTAGGGCAAAAAGGTTCAAGGGCTACAGGAAAGTGGGTAAGACGATTATTTCCACATTTTTTTTCTTGTGTCTGGGGTAAGCATCTTCAGTTTTTTGGGTCTTTTTGTTTGTTTGTTTTAAGATTTACAAAGTCAGATATACAGAGAGGAAGATCTCCCATCCGATGATTCACTCCCCAAGTGAGTGCAATGGCCGGTGCTGTGCCATTCCGAAGCCAGGATCCAGGAACTTCTTCCAGGTCTCCCACACGGATGCAAGAGCCCAAAGCATTGGGCCGTCCTCCACTGCTTTCCCAGGCCACAAGCAGGGAGCTGGATGGAAGTGGAGCTGCTGGAATTAGAACCGGTGCCCATATGGGATCCTGGCGCATTCAAGGTGAGGACTTTAACTGCTATGCCACGCCCCCAGGCCCAGCATCTTCAGTTTTTAAAACCATGTTAAGTAACTCTCCTAAGTAGTTGCCTAGATTTATACTCTAGCAATTGTTTTATTAATTTTTAAAAAAAGAATAGATGGGGCCCGGCGCGGTGGCGCAAGTGGTTAAAGGTCCTTGCCTTGCACGCCCGGGATCCCATATGGGCGCTGGTTCTATCCCGACAGCCCCACTTCCCT